GTTAAAAAAAATTTTTTTTAAATGTTTATTTTATTTTTGAGAGGGAGACAGAGTGCGAGCCGGGGAGGGGCAGAGAGAGAGGGAGACACAGAGTCGGAAGCAGGCTCCAGGCTCCGAGCGGTCAGCACAGAGCCCGACGCGGGGCTCGAACCCACGAACTGGGGGATCATGCCCTGAGCCGAAGTCGGACACTCAACCGACTGAGCCACCCAGGCGGCCCAGAGCATATGTGGGTTTTTTAAACGGGAGAAAGTTGACGTGTTTGCATGTCTGTTCAACTCCCAAAGGTGTCTTTCCAGCCCTACCCTCCTAGTATTTGACCCTATTGGGTGAATTCCTTTTCTGAAGCTGTTTTCTCGCTGGCCTTTCAGCCTGCCACTCCTCTCCTGGCTTTTCTTCCCGTCTTGGATGACTGCCCACCCCCTACGGTTGATGTTTTTCGGGGTCTGTCCCCACCGTTTCCATCTCCCCTGCCCAGGCTAGTGCCCTCGCCGTGCGGTTTCAGCGAGACTGCCCTATGTCAACAATGACTTTCGTCTCCGGCCCAGCCCTTTGCCGACACATTTCTCCCACTGCCTACTGACTGTCCCCACGAGTCCCTCAGAGTCAGCATGCTTAAAGCTGAAATTCCCTCCCCGCAAGCCCCTCTTTCTTCTGTGTTGTCTACCTTGGTGGCCTGGGTCAGAACCCTAGTATTTATCCTTCCCTACCTTCCGGGAGTGGGTTGAATGGTGCCCCCTCCCCCGAAAAGAGACGTCCATGGCCCAGAACCTGTGACCGTTACCTTATATAGCTAGAGAGCACCGCCTTATATGACAAAAGATGTGATTATCTTTTATCTTGGATTATCCAGGTGCCCCCTAAATCCAGTGACAAGTGTCCTTAAGAGACGGGCAGAGAACACACACTGAGGAGGTATTGTGAACATGGAGGCAGAGATTGGAGTGAAGCCACAAGTCAAGGAATGCCAACAGCCACTGAAAGAACGGACTGTCTCCTACAGCCTCTGGGAGGAGCGTGGCCCTGCCCACACCACCTTGGGTTTGCACATCTGAGGGCTTCCAGAACCTGAACTGTGAGAGAATAACTTTCTGTTGCTTGAAGGCACCCGATTCGCGTTCATTTGTTACGGCGGCCCTAGCAAATTAATAGGCCCTCATTCTTTGGCATCTAATGGGTCACAAAAATCCTGCTGGTTTCAACTCCTTAAATAGCTCTAGTTTGGGGGGCGCCTGGGTGGCTCAGTGGGTTAAGCATCTGATTTCATATCGGGTCATGATCTCGCCGTTTGTGAGTTCGAGCCCCGCGTCGGGCTCGGTGCAGACGGCTCGGAGCCTGGAGCCTGCTTCCGATTCTGTGTCTCCCTCTTTCTCTGCCCCTCCCCGCTTGTGCTCTGTCTCTGTCTCAAAAATAAATAAAACATTAAAAAAAAAATAGTTCTGTTTTTTTTTTTTTTTCCTCCCATGTCTATCTCCAATCTGGTCCGGGCCTTGGCTGCTCTCTTGAACCACTGCGGTGGGTGGTCTCCTTCAAAAATAGAGATTAAAAAGAATAATAAAAATTAAAAAAAAAAAAATAACAGAGTAGCTGAAAAACCCAGGCCTGCAGATAGCCACCATTCTACATTATGCGGTCCGGGCGGCAGAGTCAGCTTCTAGAATGAACGAGAAGTGTGGAGTCAGAGGCAGAGGAGCAGGATGAGCCGATAAGGGAAGTTAGTTCTGGGCCGCCTAGAGCTCCAGCCCCGGATGCTGGGAGTCCCGGAAGCCTGGGATTCTGAGACACTCCTATACCTACCTTGCTCCCGTCTACCCTCACTCCTTCCTCCTGAGCTCCGATGAGCGTGTTAGACATGATCCACCTAGATTACAGTCTTCTGGGACAGAGGCTGGTCCCTTTTTATATTCTAGTGCTTTTGGTTCAGAGTCCTTTGCATTCTGGGCCCCTTCTCTGACTTCCCTTCTCCCTCGCCCTGTTTAGAGACCCTCAGAATACAAT